TTCCTTCCTTCCTTCCTTTTTCTTTCTTCCTTCCTTCTTTCCTCTTTCTTTCTCTCTCTCTCTCTCTTTCTCTCTCTCTCTGTGTATGTTTCTTTCTTTTCCTTTCCCAACATTTCAAAAACAGAAGGAGACTGGAGATTAGAACAGGTTTTTTTTGTGGGGAGGTAATCAAGAAGCAAAAATGATCAAGTTTTCCAGGGTTTATATCTCTGGGGACCAAGCAAAAGTTTTTTCCCCCCATTCTGTAACCTCCATATGGTGAGGAATGCAGGTTCCATTATCCTCTGCCACACATTGTCTGGAAATGGCGGGTGCTGAATCCTAAAGCCTCCCACCTTGCCTTAGCACCACATTGTGCAGGGATTCACACACTGCAGACGAAGGAGGAGGTGGAGAATTACACATCTGCCCCACAAAAAATGACTTACTTTGGCAGGAATATATTGGAGTATTTTGTCTGAAGTCACATCTCTCTCATGCTCTGCTTCAAAACCAAAGAGCGCGGCCAGTTTTTTCTTGCTTTCTTGTCTGAAAGGCAATAAAACAGGGCCACAAAAAAACATCAAGGAGAGCAAACAAAGGGAACTGGGAAGGCATGGGGGGGGGGGGGAAAGGGAAGGAGCAATTTATTTTATCACTAGGCTCATCAATGTTTGCAACCTCACCAACCGTCAAAAATGCGAAAAGGAATGAGGGACATCGCCCCAGCTTTGCTTTACTGTCTTGTTCAGGTTGAACTATAGAGAGTCTATCCAGTTTGAGGGAAAGGGGGAGAGGAGAAGGAGAAGAAGAGGAGAGGGGAAGGGCAGAGAGGGGGGAAGGGAGGAGGAGAGGAAGGGAGGGAAGGAAATAACAGAATAACATAGTTGGACAAGACCTTGGAGACCCCTTCTAGTCCAACCCTTTACTCAAGCAAGAGATCCTATACCACCCCAGACCAATGAGAGTCCAGTCTCTTCTTAAATACTTCCAATCATGGAACATCCACAACTTTGAAGGCAAGTCATTCCATTAATTAATTGTTCTGTCCGAAAACAACTTCATGTTTCTAGTTCTAAAAGTAAAAGAAGAAATGAGAAGGAAGGGAGGGAAGAAAGAAGGAAGGAAGGTAGGAAGGAAGAAGAAAGGAATGTAGGAAGGTAGGTAGGAAGGAAGGAAGGGAAGAAAGGAAAGAAAGAAGGAAGGAAGGAAGGAAAGAAAGGAAGGAAAGAAGGAAGGAGAGAAGGAAGGAAAGAAGGAAGGAAGGAAGGAAAGAAAATGGAGATAAGGAAGGTTATGGAAGAGGAAGGAAGGAAGGAAAGAAGGAAGGAAAGAAGGAAAGAAGGAAGGAAGGAAAGTCTAAAGACAAAGTTGTGACATTGGCCTCAGGGAAGAACAATAGCTTAATTATTGCATACATGCTAATAGGCATTGCATAATATACGTTTCCTTATTACCAAATTAACCTACATTCTGGATTTGTAGTAACTCAATCATAAAACCCAACTAGGCCAACATACATACCTCAATTAAAGTGAAAACTAACCAGCTTTAAGCATATACTGTGCTTTGAGCCAACCTAGATATGGGCCTGATGCAAATCGATGTCTAATATATATCTCCCCCACCTCTTCCAAGTAGTTCCTGACCCAGGTTAGTTCCTGAATCCAGACCAGGGAGGCTGATAACTAATAAGCAGCAAAATAAAAAGGCACTTCACCCCATATTCTAACCACCACCACTGAAATCAGTGTAATGGCAAACTTCATGTGGTACATGAAGCTGTCGCTAAAATGCAATGTTTAAAAATGTGACAGCATGGGAAAAGCGAAGAACACAACACCACATGTCATAAATTGACAGTGATCAGATCCAGGTTGCCTAAATCCCATCGACCACTAGGGGGCAGGTGTTTTTTTTCCCTCTCTAAGTTGCCCCCAAGTGGCCATTGAGATTTTGGCAACCCAGATCTGAGAATCTTAATAAATCACAACTATCAAAAATGATATAGGGCAATGGGCTTTCTCTTGATATTAGGAATAATTATTAAACATTCCTCTTTGTTCTTAGGAGGAGTCAATTTTAGGTGATCGTGGCAGGATTAAAAGAATATTATCTCCCACTCATTTGAGATCAGGGGAAGATTTTAAACCTTGAAATTCGAGAAACTGAACCACACCTAAAAGCCATCAAGCTTCTGATTGATTCCTATCAGTCTGTGTCAATCTTTCCTAGCCCATCAGAAAGAATAAGAACTCAAACTACACAACCAAAAACATTAACAAAGCAAACAAAATGAGCCAACTTTCGGTATGACGTCATCTCATTTCCCTATCCAGTTTACCAGAGAACACAGGAAGCGATAGATAATATTGACAAACAAAAGTAAGATAAATGCAACCATCTAATTGGAAAAGGGACCCATGGATTGGGAAAGGAAGACTGAAACACATACACGCACAATTGTCCATGTTCCCTGCGCCTGCAATTTTAGCAATTCCTTTCTGAGATGGTTTTGGGG